CTTTTTGAAACTCCACTGAGGGAGTAGATTTTCTCCTTTCATTATGTGGGTTCTAGGGGATCAAATTCAGACTGGCAGCAAACACATCGTGTAGGCTATTTGTTCAGCAACTGCACACAGGTCGGAGTCATCTGGGAAGAGGGGACCTCAATTGAGGAAACGCCCCATCAGACGGGCCTGTGAAGCTGAGGAGCACTGCTCTTGACTCATGGCTGATGTGGGAGGGCCACTGTGGGCAGGGCCATCCCTGGGCAGGTGGTACAGGGCTGTGTAAGAAGGCAAACTGACAAGTCAGGAGGAACAAGACCGTAAGCAGGGTTCCTCCCTGGCGTCTGCTTCAGTCCCTCTCTTCACGGTCCTTTGTTGAGTTCCTGCCCTGACTTCTCTCATGAAGACTGTTAGCTGGAAGTGTAAAACGAAATAAACCCATCCCCTCCAAGTTACTAATGGTCATTCATTATCACAGCAGTGGAGACCAAAGTAGGGCGTACCTGTACCCCTTGGGTCAGCCTACAACTCTGACTTCTAACAACACCTCCAAGCTAATGTTTTTATACTTTGGTACCAGGATACTTTAGCACTTTTGGATCTATTTCCTAATTTGATAAATTTAAAGAAGCTACAGTTGAGAATATGCACATCAAGTTATAACACATTAAGGATGACTAAGGCTGAGGAAATGGCGCAGTCTGTAGATTGCTTGCCACTCATTATTAAATGAGTCCCGAAGCCCCGGCATTTACATAAAATCCAGGTGTGTCAGTGCAAGTTTGCCACCCCAGTGCTGGGGCCAGGTGGACTCTCTCAAGCTTGCTGGACAGCCTAAGCAATCAGAGCACCGCGTTCAGGGAGAGATGCTGGTTCAAGGAATAAGATGGAGAGCAGCAGAGAAGAAATCTGACACCAGCTGAGGCCTCCCATGTGCACACACGCTTGTGCCCACACAAAGACCGACAATGAGACAAGTCAGCCTGACCCCAGTGACTTGGACGCCAAAGCCCTGAGTATCAAAACAGAAGAGGCTAAATTTATTCCTTTCTTCTTCTCCTCTGCCCTTGCAGAAGGACAGGCAAGGCCAAATGAAAGAGATCGGGATCAAAAATGGAAAATCAGAAAATAATTTGTGAAATAATGTGTAGGGTCACGAAGAGTTACAGTAGCAAAGACTACATTAGCTATTTAAGGGTTTGAGGTTTAAGAAATTCTCCTTCAGGAGGAAGGAAAACATTTTCTTTTTTATGTATGTGTGTAGTACGATAGGTATGTGAATGTGTGTGCAAATGTGTGCATACATGTGCACGTGTGTATTGCTAGAAGCCTTTATCATTTATTACAGAAGTAGCAATTAATATTCTAGGTATTGTCTCCAGAATATTGTTACTACGAATTTGGCTGTAATAGAATATATACTGGGTGCTTTGTATTCTCAAATAGGCCACAGAGAAAGGGAATTCCTTCTCACGGGAGGGGGGTTAGGGAGTGAGTGGGGGATGGTCAACAGTAAGAGCTGCAGCCTCTGGATCTCACACACACAGCCTTAGTTTTCCCCTTTCACACAGCGCTGAGAAGTTCCTTTTAATGAGGTAACAGCACCTGTTGTAAGCCATGTCCCCCCTGAGTCTTAAGTTTGCCAGGACATTTTGCTTCAAGGCACATCCAGAGGGGAGACACCAGGCTCCTGCTTTTCTAAGACACTACCCACCCTCCAGGCTCTGAGAGAGATCCTATTGTCAGAGAGCTGTTAACTCTGCCTGTGGGTATAAAAACCAGAAGCCTTGTGGGACAGAAGGCACTTTCAGAGAATTTTTTAGGAGGAACTTTTTGGAGAACTCTTACAAGGAAATTTTAGAAGTCTCAAGAGAATTTTAAGAAGGAACTTTTAGAGATTTTTTTGTTTTGTTTTTTTGAGACAGGGTTTCTCTGTATTGTTTTGGAGGCTGTCCTGGAACTTGCTCTGTAGACCAGGCTGGTCTTGAACTCACAGAGATCCGCCTGCCTCTACCTCCCAAGTGCTGGGATTAAAGGTGTGCGCCACCAACGCCTGACCTTTTAAGAGAATTTTTAAGGAGAACTTCTTTGGAGAGTTTTTACAGGAAGAACTTTTGAGGAGAAATCTTTTTATTAATATTTATCTTATGATCATTGGTACTTTGTCTGCATATGTGCCTATGTGAGAGAGGGTGGATCCCCTGGAACGGGAGTAACAGACAGTCCTGAGCTGCCACGTGGGTGCTGGAAACTGAACCAGGGTCCTCTGGAAGAGCAGTCAGTGCTCTTAACCATTGAGCCACCTCTCCAGCCCCTTGAGGGGAAATCTTAAAGAGAGCTCTTTGAGAAAGAACTTTTGGGAAGAACATTTCTTTGGAGAATAAAGAGTTGTGAAAGGAACATCTGTGTGAGCCGGTTTATTTCCTTTTGGCCCTCAGATCAGAACTTTTTAGCAAAGCCCCTATCAGCCTGCTGGAAGACTCCTGCCTGAACCCACAATAGTATATGTAGACCAGAGGTTCATGTCGGGAGCCTTCTTACCACTGTCTGCTTCATTTACTGAGGCAAGGACTCCCTCCGAATGCAGAGCTTTAGATTCAGCTAGTCTAGCTAAATCAGACTTTCTGGGATTACGGGGAGCCGCACAGCCACCTGGCTTTTTACTTGGGTTCCAGGGATCCAGCTGCCGTCCTCAGACTTGTAGATAAGCATCTCCTTTCCTACTAGCCATCTCTAGTCCACTAGGCAGAACAGGACTGTCTGCACTCTTAAAAAGGTTAAAGAGCTGATACTGTAGCTCAGAGGTAAGGAGGGAGGGAGGGAGAGAGGAGGGGAAAAGGAGAGAGAGGCAGGGGGAAGGAAGGAGAGGGAGAGGGAGGCAGAGTTTATTTGCACCACTGGGGAGAGAGAGACTGGTGGGAGATGCTTGCTACCAAAGCCTGGAGATCTGAGTTCAGATCCTCAGAAGCTGGGCAAGGTAGCTCATGTCTCTAACCCAGGCCTGGGGTACCTCACGGGCAGAGAGCCCCACGTCCAAGCTTCCCTTTGACCCCCACCATGTGCACACATTGTGGCATGTGAGCCCCACAAACTCACACACATGTTCATGTACATACACAGACAAATGAATGGCTTACTCGAACGACAAAGTTCTATTTCTACATTCTTAGCTACTATATTAAGTCTTACCTTTAAGGGCCTAGAGAAACTATACCAAGATCTTCAAAAATAAAAGACTAGGTAGTAGGATATGAAAGTCTGAAACAATTTCAGTGCATTTTGAAGAATATTAAATACTAGAATGAAATTACATTTTATATAGGTCACAGAAATACCTTCACGAATGCACATTCATGTATGCATTAGGCTATTTGTTATAGTATCGTCTATAATATGAAGAGCTGCCAAAATCAATGTAAGCATTGAGACAAGTGAAACACATGAATATCTATTCCGTTTCTAAAAATGCCTAAAAACCCATATATATATAACTGTCTGCCACACATGTTAAGTGAGTTTGTGAGCATCTGAGTGAAGAAACAGACCCATTTTCTTCTCGATGTAGACAGCCTCACTCAAAGCCCAGACACGGAAGCATCCTCGGGAGAGCACCGGGGAATAACGACTAAGTGGCTTACTTTTCCATGCCCTTCTAGCCCCTTTAAACACTGCTGATGCGATCACTTCAAAAGGTAGACTTTTAAAGTTGCAGACTTGTAAAAAGCTAAACAAACCCCAGGGTGAACAAATTACTCAACCCTGCTCAAATAACAGGACTCCAACGAGTGAACTAAAGCTTTTGTTTTCCTTTTAGCATTCTATGTTACAAACCCCCTTTGGAAAACTTGGAAAATTCATTCTTGGTTCTTCAAACCATCTCCACCCAGTGAGTCAGCCAGTAAAAGGGTGGGTCTTTCTACGTGAGTGTCTCAACTGGCAGGAGGCCCAGGAACAGCTGGGAGGTGGGGGAGAGGCAGAGAGAGGAGGAACAGGAAGTGTGACTTGGGCAAGGACAGATGCAGTTTTCCAAAACTTGCTTCTGTAGGTTCCAGAAGGGCCATTTGAGCAGTCACTGACCGGGATAAGCCACGCAGAAACACGAGCTCTGCGAGCGTCCTTTATTCAACCATGAGGACCGAGAGGTGGCTTAAGTTTGCAAGGGCAAAATTATTTCTTCCACCTGCTTCTAATGCGTTCCCTTCTACGTGGTAGCTCATTACACTCGTACTGTAATTGAACAGATTACCTTATCAGAACGGCTCACTGTCACCTGGCAGCAATTAGGGACCGTAATGGGTAGCAGTAAGATATCCTGTGCACCTCTGCAGCTCGGTTTCCTCAAGCTGTGACCCGGACACGTCTGATGCGGGTCAAGGACCAGGAATGGAACCTAGAATGTTACTTCCTAGAATAGTCTCTAAGAATTGTAAGCCCGAGCTTGTGAGTTCTGTCCTAGGTGTCATTACGCACAGCATAAATTCCCCCAAGTTCCTCTAAATTTGCTGTGTCACCAAAAAGTCTGGTCACCAGGCAGACCCGGCTTTCTCGGCCTCCCGGGAGGCGCTGAACTCACCAGGGCCCCCCTGGCTAAGTGCTCCACCTGCGCGGGGGAGGGGGCACGGCTCCCTAGCACCCCCACTCTGCCGAGCCCGACCCACCGGCCTTCTGAGCGCTCTGGCGCGCGGGGCAAGCCGCCCAGCCCACCCCAGCACCCGGAACGCCCGAGTCTCCACCCCCGGGGGCCCAGCCTGCCCGCAGCGCTAGTGGGGCTTGCCACTCCGGCACCAAGGCCAGAGCGCAGGCCGGGAGCCGCCTGACTGGCCGGCGGGGGATCTGCGAGCGGAGGGGGCACGAGTCCTCACCTGAGCCGGGGAGCCGCGTCACCGCCCGGCCCGCTCTCCCGCAATATGGAGCCGGGGAGGGCCGGAGGGCGTGGCGCCGGGGCGGCGCGAGGAAGCCGGCCGCCGGACCGCCCCGAGCGCGGGCGGGACCCGCTCCCCTCAGGTGGCACGGCTCGTTTGACCACGTGTTCGGGTCCTGGGAAACCCGGGAAGCCGCCGCAGCTCTCGCGCCCTCAGGTCCAGTGGACAGCGCGGAGGGGCTCCCAGGGCCGGAGAGGTACATCGAGGACCCAGGGCGCGTTTGTTATAGGGGATTCTGGATATACGGAACTGGAGCTGAATTAGGCAAAACTAAGCAGAGGAGAGTTGATTCAAGGTTCTTCTTGTTCATTCGTATGTTAAATTCACTCTAGAACTAAATATTTGAGGCAGTTATATGTAAAGAACCTGTATTTATGCACGGTTACGCGGTTAAGTCAAGGTTAGAGGTCAACCAACCTTTCATTTGTTGTTTTTTAAGGTTGGTCTCACTGGAACTGCTGGGCAGTGAGCTCCTGGGATTAGCGAGCTCCTGGGATTAGCGTGTCTGCATCTCAGTGCTGAATTACGGGCTCCCACTCCCACATGACCGAGCTATCTCCCCAGCATGTCCTGCACCTTCAAAACAACCACTTGTATTTGGGTATGTACACTGAGCACAGCTTGCGGGAATCGGTTCTCTTCCTCTGCCATGTGGTTCCCAGGGATGGGATTCAGGTTTTAAGGCTTTGAGGTAAGCACTCAGGTCAGGTGTGGATTCAGGTCAGGTGTGCCTTCACACCTCAGCACACTCCAACGCGACTACACACACCGCTTTACTGTGTATTTGTGTAAGATGTATGTATTCGTGTGGACACATGTGGGAGTCAGAGGACAACTTGGAGGAGACATTTCTCCCTTTGCACCAGTAGGTTCTGAGAATGCAACCTTGTTTTTAAGGCCTTACAGCCAAGCCCTGGGTTCAGTTACCAGGACTAGGGGAAAAACCAGAAAGGAGTCATGTTTTACTGAGCTCTGATTGGTTTAAAATTTTTACTTTGACTGTAACTAAGGTGTAACATTCAGTAGGTTTCAAAGCGACAGCAATTCAACGTCAAACAGGTGATTTGATTAAGCTTCCATTTTTCAGGCATTCAGTTAGAATTTGGTTCAATTATTGAAAAATTATCTGCTTTTTCTTCTTGGTTTTTGAGACAGGGTTTGTTTTGGAGCCTGTCTTGGAACTCGCTTTGTAGACGGGGCTGGCTTCGAACTCACAGAGATCTGCCTGCCTCTGCCTCCTGAGTGCTGGGATTAAAGGTGTGCACCGCCACCTCCTGGCCTGCTTTTTCTCCTAATTGTTTCTTATCTAGTTGGCAGGAGGAACTTCCAAGAAACATGATGTAGTAGGCACTGCTGTATACTGGCTGCTTATTGGGGTTAGAATAGACCTGTTCAGGTTTGAGGGATGTGAAAGGATTAGCTCCACAAGCAATGATGTGTGTATCCAAGTTCACCAGGATCTGCAAAGACGCTTCCAATTCCTGCTGGCTGGGGAAGAGAGAAAGAAATCCCTCTGGTAATTATGAGAGCAGAAATTGCTCAAGTGCATGGCAATTCATGATCAATCCCCCCAATTTTTTGGTTTTTCGAGACAGGGTTTCTCTGTGGCTTTGGAGGCTGTCCTGGAACTCGCTCTGTAGACCAGGCTGGTCTCGAACTCACAGAGATCCACCTGCCTCTGCCTCCCGAGTGCTGGGATTAAAGGCGTGCGCCACCAACGCCTGGCAATCCCCAAAATTTTTAAAGCTGTACTAGGCAAGGGTTATTTTTCCTTCCCAAACATCTCACCAAATCCCAGATTATGTAACAAAGGATTGTTCCCAGAAATGTATTTTAGAGCCACAGGCAGGCAGGAAGAACACCTTCCTAAGATAGATGGACAAGGGATATCAAAATGTACATCTGTGTACAGGAATCAGTGAGTCAGGAAAGAATCACAAACAGAAATAGGTATAAACCTGTAAACAGTAATCAGTGTAGGGATCTCATAGTCACGAAGCAGCAGCAGGGTAGGTAGCCAAGCTTCCATCAAGACTGGGGAGGCATGGAACCCTGAAGAACAAGAACGGATTCGTGAAGAGATGGGAGAAAGATGAGGTATATCCTAAGAGCATGACACGCCTTTGATTCTATCCACTCCACCCTATGTTGTTAATCCCAGTTCTCACTATCATCAAGTATCATGAATCTTCAATGAGGTTGTGAAGAAATACGTATGGGAAATGATCAACCAGGCCCATCATTACAGCGTACTTAATGAGGACCAAAAGAAATGGATAAGGACCAAATGAAAACAGATGTTAAGTTGTCCTGGCTAGTTTTATGTCAGCTTGACAAAAGTTAGAGTCATCTGAAAGGAGGAACCTCCACTGAGAGGATGCCTCCATACAAATCAGGCTGTAAGGCAGTTTCTTAACTAGTGATTGTGTGACTTTTTTAGAGTCATGGGCTCTATAAAAAGCGCAGGCTGAGCGAGCTGCAGGTATCAAGTCAGTGAGCAGCACTCTCCATGGCCTCCGTCCCACTCCACCGTCTGGCTCTTGGAGTTCCTGTCCTGACTTCCTCAGTGTGGAAGTGTGAGCTCCATGAGCCCTTTCCTCCCCAGCTGTGTTCTGGTCAGTGTTTTCAACCCAGCAACAGAACCCTAATTGAAGGGAAAGTGCAGGGTGGGAAATTATCAGCTCGTTAGCATTTCTCTGCATCAACAGCTCTTACCTGGGTGGAATGCAGCCACCAAATCTGGATGGGCTAGATTCCCAGTCTCTATCTGTTCCTCCCAGAAGTCATGATACAGGGCCTTGTGGCCACTAAGCAGAATTGTTCCAGGCTCCAGGAATAAAGGTGAGGAATTCTGTGAAAGGTTAGTACTCACATCCACACCCACCATGATCACATGGAGGCCAAGGTGCTCAGGAAACATGTAACCAAGCTCATCATAATCCCCAGAACGAATGAGAGATGTTTCCACATGGGAAGCACCAACTACATGCAATGTGCTTCCCCCAGTCTTCCCAACGTCTATGGCCAGAGTCCGAAGCCCTAGGCCCAGGGTCAGGGGCCGTGACAGAGCATCTGTCATTAACCGCTTCAAAGAACTGTGCAGGACATCTGGTTCTGGGCGTGGCCTTCCTAGATTGGCCCAAAGCATGGTCATAGCATGGCTACTTAGAACAGCATTCAGTGTAGACTCTAGCTGTAAACTCCTCATAGAAAACCAGGTATCCCAATCCTGTATATCTTCTGCTGGCCCTGGCCAAGGTCCTGAGGGTAGGACAAAATCACCTGTAGGGCAAAGGAGTAAGTGAGCAGGGCTGGAAAGAAGAAAGCACAGTGCTCTTGGGAAGGAACTGAGTTTTATTTCCAGCAGCCAAACTGGGAAACTCACAATTGTCTGTAATTTCAAATCTAGGGGATGCTATGTCCCCTTCCAGCCTTGAGAGGCATTGCTCTCATGTGCACAAACCCATACACAAATACCCATAATTTAAAAAAAAATAATAAAGAAGCAGCAAATCCTTGGCTCCAAAATCCCCTCCTCAGTAATTCATATTTATTCTGCCAACCAGTAACTGTAAGCACGCCATTCCTTGCCAGTTTCTCATTTTCCCCTTAAAACAACATGCTTTTATTTTTCCCATCCATAACCAACAATTGCCACTAAGATACAATTTCCCAATACCCCTACTCTACCTGTGACCAGAAGCCATTCCATGACACGATCCACAGCCACAAGACGGAGCACCTGACAGGCCTTCCTATGTGCCGGCCAGTCTGACCTTTGGCACTCTGTATCACAGTAATAGACATTCCTGCACCTGAGAGAATGAACCAAAGAAACAGGGCCCTGTATCACAAAGCTAACTGTATGTGTCCAGGGAAGGGGACTGGATACCTGCCCCTTTGAAGAAAGGCCAATGAATCGGTAAGGGTCGTGGGGAGAAAAATGACAGATAACAGTCCAAATGTGGGAGCCACACTGGCAGGTGAAGTAAAAGGGATTAGGAATGCAATTCTTAAGAGTACTGCTCCCATCTCTGCCTATCTAAAACAACTTATGTTTTCCACTTCTTTCAGGAAAAAAAAAAACCCACACTCTGCTGATGCTTTGTCTTAATGGGTGACAACCTCAAGCTTCTCAGGCAGATGTGCTCTTATCTCGTTTACTCAAGAAGTAGGAAAGTGTCTGCTATGTCATCTCCCACAGTATCAAAAACAAACAGGATTAAAACTGGGGCCACACAAAATGAGGAACTATTCTGAAAACAAACAAAAAACCCTTAGGGTTGTTCCTTGTGGAGGACTTAGTACAGGGTACTTCTGAATGCTCCCCCGAAACACCCACAAGTCACCTCTTACAGTGCCGGAGAACCTTGTGATCTGAAAGGTCATCAGGGAGTGCTTTACAGTAAGCACAGAAGCGGAAGGTGTCCTCCATCCTCTGGAACATTTCTTGCAGAGATTGAAATCCGAAGCTTGATACTGGGGTTCCCCCATCTACCACCAACCTGCAGACAGTGTGGAAGACAGCGTGACAGGGAGGAGTGTCTCTCAGGTCTCGCCTGTGCTTCCTCCTCCTGTAATCCTGTAATCTCACATGGGTCCCACTCCCATTTGTCTCAAGCAATTATATTTCTTCTATACTAACAAGTGACAAGGGTCAGAGTAAGAAAATTCCCAATTACACTTTTCCATTTTCTGACATGACAGTACCAGACACTAAGACCACTTCCCACAGACTAGTCACTCACTTGTATTCTTCATAGCTCTTCAGGTTCAGCTTTTGAAGGACCAACTGGGACAGACCTGGTACATTATTGTCCAAGGAAATGAAGCCAAGAGCATCAATGCTAGGGTCAGGCTTTGAGAGGGTTGGAGGCTCCAGTGACACTCCTGTGGGTGGGATTACAACCATGGGAGTCACTGGTGGGGGTTTCCTGTGCTTCCGCCGCCGTGAGCGTGGAGCCATGTCCAATGAACTTGGGGGCCAGATGCTGAACAGGAATGGAATTTGACAAAATGAACACGTTTGCAGATGCCTGGTCTCTTACTTCACATTCATGTCTCTGAGGCCTGGGTATGAGAAAATTTATTAGTTACAGGTTACTTACTGCTATAAGCAGTTATAAAAAATAGAGAAGACCACTGGGCACATGATGGCTCACTTCTATAATACTAATACTTGGGAGGCTAAGAAATACAGAGTTCCAGGCCAGCCTGGGCTGCATAGCAAGACACCCCTCAAACAAAAACAAAAACAAGAGAATAATGACATACAATATATGCATGTGCATCATCTATGAAGTTCTATATACAGGTAAATAAATGTACGAAGTGAGGAATTACAGAACCCTTAAGGAAGCAGTAGACAGGAACTGGGTTGATCAAAGTAGCACCTAGACCGATTGGGCAAGCATTAGGGGACAGGTCATACAGACCAGGATGGCCACTAACTCCTTATGTCGCTGAGGATGGCTTTCCGTTCCTGGTCCTCTGGCTCCATACACCAAGTGCTAAGACCACATCTATGAATGCTAGGTAAGCACTATACCATGCGAGCTATATCCCCAGCCTAACGCTTTCATTATAAACTAATGCTAATATATTAAACACATAGAGCCTTTTCTAGTTTGTTCTGAAGGAGATTCTTACGTAGCCCAGCTGTGTGCCACCCTATCTGTGTCAGCATACAAACTGTTAACTTAAAAAAAAGAAAAAGCAACACAAGTTTTTGGCTATCCAAGTTATCAGAAGCTGGAAAATTTGCTAGGCTTACCTAGTTGTGAAGATAGACATAAATTTTTCTAAGTGTTTTTCTTGTACACAGACATGTATGCTGTGTACACACCAGACGTTATGGAGATCAGAATAGGGGCCAGATCCTTGGAACTGGGGAAACCTGATGCTAGGGAAATTCCCAGGAATCCATAGGATAACCCCAGCTAAGACCCCTAGCAATAGTGGAGAGGGTGTTTAAACTATCTTTCCCCTGTAATCAGATTAGTGACTACCCTAACTGCCATTGTAGGACCTTCACCTAGTATCTGATGGGAGTAAATAAAGAGATACACATCCAAACACCAGGCTGAGCTATGGGAGTACGGTCAAAGGGGGGGGGGAGATTATATGGATCAAGACCACAACTAGAAAACCCACAGAAATAGCTGACCCCAACTTGCAGGAGCTCACAGACTCTAGACCAAGAGCTGGGGAATCTTGCATAGGACAGAATCATCCCTCTGTATGTGGGCCTGGTCTGTTTGTGGGACCCCTCGAAGTGGGACCAGGATCTATCCCTGGTACATGAACTGGCTTTTTGAAGACCATTCCATATGGCGGGATGCCTTGCTCATCACTCGTGTGTGTGTGTGTGTGTGTGTGTGTGTGTGTGTGTGTGTGTGTGTGTGTGTGTGTGTGTGTGTAGCTTGGTGCTGCCTGAAATGAGTATGGCAAGCTTTGTTGACAACCCATGGGAAGCTTTACCCTTTCTGAAGAGTGGATGGGGGTGGGTTAAGGGCAGGTGGAGGTGAGGGGGAGGAGGGTTGGCATGTAAAATGAGTAAAAATAATATAAAATATGCATTAAAAAGGGACAACATTTAAGTAGATATTTTCCCAAAGAATATATGCAAATGAAAAATAAGCATGTTCACATGTCGTTAAGGAATTACCAATTAGAACTATAATGAAATATCTGTGTGTTTGGTTTTTTGTCTTTCAAGACAAAGTTTCTCTGTAGCTTGGAGCCTATCCTGGAACTCGCTCTGTAGACCAGGCTGGCTTCAAACTCACAGAGATCCACCTGCCTCTGCCTCTGGAGTGCTGGGATTAAAGGCTTGTGCCACCACCACCTGGCATGAAATATCTTTTCATCCCCCCATAAAGATGGCTATCAAAAAAAGAAATGAAACAGGGGGCCATGTATGGCTTTCACCCATAATCTCAATACTGTAGAGGCAGGAGGATCGCCAAATTCTAGACCTGACTAAACTACACAGTGATTTCAAGGCCAGTCAGGAATACAGTGTCACATGAAACGAAAAGACAGAAGACGAAACTAAAATAACATAGAATTACTACACGATAATGCAATTTCATTCCTGGGTATGTACTTCCAAACAACTGAAAATGGTTACGTAATAAATGTTTTCATATGATTGCTCACAACAACACTGTCCAGATAGTCAACAACTTGAAACAACTAAAAGGTCCAATAATGGATAAATGATAAACACACTAGGGAAAAAAAGTGAGGAGTAAACTCAGAGATAGATCAACAGTTATAAGGCACTGGATGGAGAGGAAATGAGTTTTCTTTTAGGGATGAAAATGTTTTAGATCTAGATAGAGAGGTTTATAACATTGTGACTATACTTTCAAAAAATAATAAATCAAAGCCAGGTGGTGGTGGAGGCAGAGGCAAAGGCAGGAGGATCTCTGTGAGTTTAAGTTCAGCCTGGTCTCCAGAGTGGGTTCCAGGACAGCCAGAGCAACAGAGAAACTGTCTAGAAAAATCAGAATAAATAAATTAAAAACAAAAATCAACTTTTTGATAGAATCCTAAACTGGCCTCAAACTTCCTATGGAGATGGGAATGAACTTCAAATTTTGATTCTTCTGTGTCTATCTCCTGAGTGTTCCAACTACAAGTATTTACCCCCACATGGGTTTATGAGAGATGGGAATAAAACCAGGGCTTCATACACACCAGGCAAGCACTCTACCAACTAAGCTACATCAGCAGACCACTAAATGCCATTAATTACTAACATTTACAATTGTAAAGTTCATGTAATATGTGAATTCCTTCTCAACCTGAAAAAAAAAGGACTTTATAAAGATATAGTAGATATGGAGCCGGGCGTTGGTGGCACACGCCTTTAATCCCAGCACTCGGGAGGCAGAGGCAGGCGGATCTCTGTGAGTTCGAGGCCATCCTGGTCTACAGAGTGAGTTCCAGGACAGCCTCCAAAGCCACAGAGAAACCTTGACTCGAAAAACCAAAAAAAAAAAAAAAAGATATAGTAGATATGGAGAGGTTAAAGTTATTAATATCCAGGTTTGCTGTCTCCAGGGACAAGGAAAGGATAGAGGATAAGAACACCCGCAGCAGTCAGCTCTACTGCAAACAAGGTAACAAAGTTCACGTTAGGGATCATGTTTTGTTATAAAAATGGCCTGACATTTGATCCTTTACAACCAGATTTGTTAAAGGGAAGTCTGCAGAACCATCATGGAGCTGCAAAATATACACCCATCTAAATACTGGCAGAATCACTCAGCTCATCCCCATCTTTTAAATGCTGCTCTCATAAACCAATCCATGGCCTGAAGTTCATGGAGGAATCAACGTCTATTTTTCTCTTGCTTTTCTTTCTTCCCATCCTTATGTCTTCCATCCACCCGTCTAGTGTCTCTCCTCAACCTCTGAGTGAATGGCTTGAGTTCATAAAGGAGAAACAATGAAAGCTTATCTGTATTCTCTATATAACCCTGCACCTAATGAAAATAGACAGTCTTAAGCTTTAGGAGTCATGTCCCTGTACTGAAGAGTCGATGGGAGCACCTTCTCTTTATACTTCTGAAACCCATTTCCAAGAACTGACTTGATTATGCCTGTAATTTAACCTTCCTTCCATGATACTAGGGATTAAACCCAGGGCCTCCTGTACACCAAGTTAAGTATTCTGTCACTGAGCAAAACTCCCAGTCTGCCTGCCTTCACTTGTTTATTTAGAGATGGTTTCATGTGGCCCAGGCTGGCCTTCAACTGTGTAGCTGAGGACGGCCATCAACTGGATTCTTCTGCATCCACTTGCTTGTGCTGTACGTACATGCTTGTTCACCGCATCTAATTTGTGTAGTGCTGGGACTGAACCCAGGGCTTGATGAAGATACACGAGCACTCAGGGCTATCTCCAGCTCCCTGCCACCCGCTTTTATCATCACGCATACTCCTACGCTCAGTGTTTCCAGAATCACTGCATCACAGAAAAGCATTCGAATGCTAGAACCATTCCCCAGTCTATCTAACTGGACAGACATACAGTCTTATATCCAAGGATTTATATTGAACATCTTCCTGAAATTAGCCCATAACCTTTTGCCATAGTGGAAGATAATTAAGGTCAGAAAGATACTGTTTCATGTATGCATTTTCAAGGATGCCTTCTTCCAATGACATCCAGATTCACTCACAGAAATGTGTATACATAGGAGGATGGGATATTACTAAACAGAAATCAAAAGCAGCACACCACTTGAAGAAAAACTGGTTATGGGGAATCCCTAATGTCACAAGCTCCTCTATATCCAGAGCACACTCATGACCTATGTTATAAATGTACTGGCCTTCTGACAGGAAGGCAAGATGTTAGGAATGAGAAGTTAGGTCACTAAGTGTGTGTGTGTGTGTCCCTATTTCTGAATTTGTATACTGCAGATTCAGACCTTGGTTCTAGCTTTCCCAGAGTCCCAAGCTCCTCCAAGTTCAAGGGGTATAAATTGAGAAATTGAGAAAAGTGGAGGGAGAAAACCCGGAGCATAAGATATGGAAGGGTGAAAACAAAAAGAGCTGTAGTAATTACTCAAAAAAAAAAAAAAAAAAAAAAAAGAAAAGAAAGAAAAGAAAAAAGTCTTTAGCATACAAGAGATTAAACAGCACCTTCCCCCTTTCTCTCTCCTCATTAATAAAAGTCCCACTGTCTCCAGATCAGGAAATCAGTTCTTGAACTCAAATACATCTTTTGGACGGTGGGAAGACAGGGGGGAAGCTGAACTGTCACTGGGCTCCTTGAAAAGGGTAGGAGGCTTGTATGATGATGAACACTTGTTCTAGCACTTAGGAAGCTGAGGCAGGATGAGTATGGGTTGAAGGCCAATCTGGACAGTATCTCAAAAACAAAAGAACATAAGCCCCAAATGTGGGGAGAAGGTAAGGAAAAGGGGAAAGTACATTTAGAATTCCGCTATTCTGGCCAGGCAGTGGTGGTCCACACCTTTAATCCCAGTACTTGAGAGGCAGAGACAAGCAGATCTCTGAGTTTGAGCCCAAACTGATCTACAGAGTACAGCCAGAGTTATACAGAGGAATTCTGTCCCGAAAAACAACAAAAAAGAATACTGCTCTTCTGACCACACTTGCTAGTTAACCAGAGATTAACACTGCCTCGAGCGATACTTTACAGAATTATAAAATGAACTAAGTAGACAGATTGATGGGAAAGTAACTTACCCCACTAAGCCCTAGGCTTGCTTCCTTCTCTTTCCTCCAAGTGAAGTGAAGTCTTGATCCCTTCAGATCTAGGTTGGGTCTCACTTGCAGCTGCTACTTCATCTCAGCTCTGCAAACTGCTGAAGTGCTGGGTCTGAGTAACCTGAGTGCCCTGCCAACCAGACAGACAAGCCTGAATTCTCCCTAACGAGGCAAGTCAGGACCCAAACACCTGCTTGAGTTCTCTTTCTGACCTTTACTCTCTGCCAGGAGAGTTCAAGACTCTGTCAACACTCCCCAACTCACCATAGCCAGGCAAGCTGAGGAAAGATGAAACCCACTATTTCCTGGATGTCTCTCAAGGTAGCATTTCTGCTCTCACTTTACAGCTTCATGGAGGGAGGGGGCAGGTGGAATCCCTAGGGATTAATTAAGGAATCAATATTTGGCTGGAAGGATAGGCACCAGACCAAAGAAAAAGCAAACCTTGGAAAAAGGTGGTATCAGTCTGGATCCAAGATGAGATCTCCAAGCCTGATGCCCCGTTTTTTTTAGCCTAACACATTGCTCAAATAGAATTCAACCAGTCCAAACTGGGATAGAGTACAAATATAATTACCCAAAAAGACATAGAGAAATGGCATTTAATGGTACAAGGAACTTAACTGTGGGAAAAATAAGGGGGACTACTTTGTGAAAACACTTCACTGGAAGGAGCATATAGTATTCTCTAAATGAAGCACATTATCACAGGACATTCTACAGGACAATTTCAAAAGAGGAATAAATGCTTCTAAGAAATCAAAATAGGTAAGTTACTCAGTGAAAATACATACTATTGAAGGAGTTTCTTGCCCATCTGGTCCCATAGACATTTAGCCCCAAATAAATATTCACGACAGTGACAAAGTATAAGATTTACAGGGAATGTTTCTATTTTAGCATTACTACTTATACTGGTAGACATTTAAAGTAACAACTTAGAGATCTGAATTTTCCACAATTTGCATCATAAGCTGCAATGAAAATTATCTTAAGAATTTAACCATTTTTGGTAAAACTATCCATGAAAATGGAAGGCCAGTAATGGTAGTTCATGCCTGTAAAAGATCCTAGCCCTAGGGAGGATGAGGCAAGAATAATCTGAGCTACATACAGTCTCTTTAGAAAAAAAAAGGAAGAAGGAAGAGAGTGGAGGCCACAAGAGGTTCCTACTTCAGGACTGTGAAAGAGGCCTGTGACGATGGTGACAGTCTACCATCTCATGTCACTGATTCATCCAAGTTGTTCTTTTGCTTTTGCCTTTCTTAGTTTTTACCACCAACCTATAATTCTTCAAGTTTGATAATGATGCTTTGTACATCATTATCTATGACTCCACAAATACCATATAACCCTAGTAATAAATCAAACTACTAAGAAGTTCCTAGCACTTAATATACTAGCTAAGTTCCTACATTAACAATGAAATTTTCATTAAAAAAATACAAATGAATCTTTAAAGTACACAGTATATAGTAATTTTAGAGGAAGCTAATGAACTGGCTTACAAATTAACATTATGTTGGACACTATAATAAACACTTTAGGTTCTGTTTTTATCTGGAATTTGGCAAGAATATGTATTTTGATATAAACTGATGCTTTATGTGTATCAGTTACTGTTAAAGCTATTTGTCATATTATAAATTTTGAGCAATTTCTCAATTTGCAATGTTATACTTACTTCAACAATGGCAGAGGAGGCAAAGCACAATGTCAGAGTAACCAAATATTAGTATTTTCTTATTGTTAAACCACCCAAATTTCCAAAACACAATTTATATCACTCTAACAAAGTTCAAGACTAGAACATTTCTTCCAACTAAAAGTTGGTAAAAACCGTGACTTTTATTTTATTTATGTACTAGGGGTTGAGCCCAGAGCCTTGCACACGACTGGCAAGTATCCTACCACTCAACGATATAGTCATAGCCCCAAGTGACTTTAAATATTATATTTTGGATGATTATTGTTGTCATTCAAATTCCTCCAGTGCTCAACAACTCACATTTTTAAAAAAAGTTTAAGGGGGAAACAAGTAAAATTTATAGACAAGAATTTAATTCATGAAACCATCGTTAATTATCTATAGGATAATCTCTGAAGGATATCCTAGCTTCATGAATAGAATTTTACAATTTGCATAAAAGGTTAAAGCAGACTAGATCTTCCAAATAAAACCCAACACAGAGATAGGAGCAGCGGCCCATGCATGGAATTTATTGTGTGCTACTGTTTATAAAATACTTGAATAGTCCTGCACATGCATAATATTTCCAACTTAGACAGGAGACCATACAGGGTGCACTTTCTGGCAAACAAAACAACATATGGTTCCGCTGCCTGGAGCTCTGAGTTGTATTCCAGGGCATGAGGGAAGCAGGCCACCAAAGTAAAGGGAAATACCAAACTACAGTGGCAATCAGCATAGGTCAGTAACTGTGTAAAATTAGTACATGGTTCCATTTAGTTTAACCAAGCAGTTCTGTAACTATCAAAAGTAAAATTTCAACATGCAGTCTTGACTTTTATGCTTCCACTAACATCTGAAGGGTTGAAGAGAACCATTGCTTCTAGGCTGCATTACTTAATCAAAAACATTTCCAGACATTTAAAATTTTCCTTTGCATTTAAACATAAAAATGATAGAAAGCCAGCAGCAAATTACCCTGGTGGTTTTGTTAAGCAACTGGAATACTCACAATAAACTAAAATTTCTCATAACATCTACGTAACCTATACATGTTGTACCTGTACATCATAGGTCTATATATTAAATATCTGCAAAATGAAAACATGCATACACAAAATACGTCAAGTTTTACAGACATGATTTGAATTAAAATTTACTTTGACAATGTACAAACTTTTTTAAAGTACCTTAAATGAGTAATTCTGTAATTCTTCATAATTTGAAAATTTAGGGTTTTTTTTTTTCCTCTTAAATCTATGGGGTGTAAATCTTAAAAGATAAGGGCAAAAAAGATTCTAAATTGGTTTTTGGATTTGTGTTCAAGTAAGAGTCTTCTTAGAAATAGTTTATGCATTTATAATTGAAAAATACCAAGACTATGTTACAGAATTAGCCACATTTAAGAACTATAGACCTGAGGTCATCATTTTGTATAAACACCAACTGGGTTTCTCAGATTTTTGCCTACAATTCAAAATACAGCTAGTAACCTCAGAAATATATTTTAAGACCATGCTAATTCATCCTTTTAAAGACATTTCATGGGGTGGGGGAGAATCCACATAACTCTAAAGATTGCATTTAAAGTCATGGTTGAAAAAAACCTAATTCTACTGAGAAAAAAAAAGAAAGAAATCTCATTTGTAAACGTGATGTGTGAACCGCAAGCATCACTGGAGGTGTAGACGCCCTCCACTGGGAATTGCCCCGAGCCCTTGCTCACTGTTCTCCACTGTGGCAGCGATTATCCAATCTTATTAGACAACACATGTCCCAGGGCCTTCAAGCCTCCATCCAGGAAGGGGGTAGTTTCTTCAGAGAGACTGTGACATTTATCATCAGCTTGGCCGATCCCTCCAGTTCCTTGGGTGATCTGTCCATTTGGGGCTCAAGGCCTGAGAGTCCCTGGGAAGCTGCTGGTCACTGGGCACTATGGTTGCCAGTCCCGTGGCTCTCAGTGGTATGTGCGCTGTTCAGGGAATTGAAACCATCTTGCTGTACAGCATCTTTCCGGGGTGGCATTCTCTCATTGATCCTATCCAAACCCTTTGCCTCTTCAAAACTGCAGATTCTATGTGGTGGAGAGAATCCTCGTATTGCTTAACAAAATGCAAATTTGATAAGTCAGTAATTGTAAAAACGATTGAGTTTTCAAAAACATAATGACTTTTAAGAAATTACTGTAAACAGCAATGCTTAAATTTTACTTTAAATGAATTCTATACCCATTTTAGTCTCCCCATTAAAATATGGAACACTTTAAATAAAAAGATGACAGTTTCATAGACAACAAGTTAGTATGTTTTGTTTGCTTTATTTAAAGTAAAGCAAAATAAAAACACTAAAATTACCTTTCCCTGCCTGCAAGATCAATTCTGTGTCAATAGTCTGAGGGTATCTGTCTGCTTCTACTAAACCAATTGTCTCCTCTTACGTCAAACCAAGATCACATGGTGACCACCACAGAACTGAGGAAGCTAAAAAGGGTAGTCCCCGAGACACACTACGGACAGGTGGGGTAAAATGGAGCAGGGAAGAGCCGCCTTGGAAGAGTACCAGTATAAGATAAAAAGTGGAAAATGACCCCCAAGTTACAACTCTATTTGGTTGATAAACAAAAAGGCATATTTTAGAACATTTTCCCTTCCTTCTCTAGACAATCACTACAAACTATGTCAAAATAAATGGCAATCCTTCTTAAGTATTAAGGGTTCTTTTGTTTAACTGTTTGAAATAGGGTTTCACTGCATAGCTCAGGCTGGCCTTGGACTCATTATATAGCCTAGCCTGGCCTCAAATTCATGATCCTCCTGACTCAATGGCCCTACTGCTAGGATAGACATTCACCACCAAGCCCAGCTTACATTAATTCTTATGGATTCTCATTCATTTCATCTGGAAGGATACAGATACCATTATTAAAATGCTCATAAAAATAATCTATACAATTATTTACAGGCTAGCTGCTTATTATACTTAATCTCTAGTACTACTTATAAACATGAACCAAAAAAATGGCGGGGACCACTATATAGACAGAAGTGTGTAATATCAACCTAAGTCTTGATACACATTAATATAATCTTAACTCTGAAACTACAGCCCAAACTGCAGGAAAAGAAATCATTATAGTAATACTTCCTGTACTAGAATGGGCAAAAACAAACTCACTTTTATTTAGTGGGGGTTTCTCATAGGGAAAAAAAATCTGAGTAGTACAAAACATACAAAATATGGGCTAGAGCTCTACTGGCAGGGTTAGTTTAATAATGTCCATTAAAACAGACAACATAAATGCTAATGTATATAACATATACTAAAGAAATCAGCAACAATGAACTCTGGGCTATACTAGAAAGAGAAAAAGACACTATAGGCATCAGCTTTTGTGATTTAAAAAAAAAGAGGAGGAATGTGACTGTTAAACTTGATGAGTCAGCCAGTATGATTCATCTGTGTTAAGCTAGGCATAAGACACACCCACAGGACATTCTCTGATGCCCACCCACAGACCACAGATCTCTGCCCAGTGCAAGGACTCTGATCGTACCTTTTTCAGCCTCAATAGCCTCAACTGTGGCTGTACAGAAGTGAGCAGAGGCATGCAAAATGAATGAGAGAGATGAGAAGGGTCATATTGTACAGCAGAAAAGGCAATGATCACTTAATATATCACAGTACCCAAACTATTCATCATTTACAAATGAACATAAACTATACCCGTATTAGAGAGCCCCACCCAGTCCCCCAATACCTAACACAGCACAGCTTACACACAGCACTATGACATCAGAGCACAGAACACAGACCTATTGTAAAGACAGACACCTCAGCACCCATGCAAATGCACTGCAGTATTAATTACTCAGCTTGAATTCAGTGTTTTGATGGTGCTAGGATTTTCCATGTTTGTTTTATCAGTGAATTATCATTACAGGAAAATTATAATAGCACTGTGGCAGAAAAGCAAACAAGAGAAAATTTTTCTTTTACTTCTAATATTATCAACATTCATTACTACTTGGCTCCCTAAGATACAAACTAGAAGGGGTCAGTAAAGGTTTTCTGTCCCTTTAAATTTACAATGCAAGGCATAGCAGCAAAATCTGGTATATCTGTGATAAAATGTAGGGACCTTGTATTTGTTTAATTAGTCTAAATATAATTCTCAAGTTCTGTTCTTTAGGGGCCCTAAAAGGACCCCCCCCTTTTTGGTTTTTCAAGGCAGAGTTTCTATGTGTAGCTTTGGAGCCTGTCCTGGAACTCGATCTATAGACCAGGGTGGCCTTGAACTCACATAGATCCTCCTGCCTCTGCCTCCCCAGTGCTGGGATTAAAGGTATGCACCACCACTGTCCAGCTAAGGAATTATTTTCTATGCTAGGAACTTGGGTTTTGTTTTGAAGGAGGCTGCCCTTGAACCTCTGATCAAGTGATCATCTTGTACCAGTTTCTAAAGCAGCTGAGAGACTATGAGTGACTGTCCAACTATCTAAACACCTATAACATTTTAAAAATTCTATTTATATTCAGTTTATCATGATGATTAATTTGCTTAGAAGCGAGAAGCCTGCATTCTTAGGAGAAGACGGAAAGGCTACTGGGCATCTTTTCAAATCCATATGCTAATCAGAAAGGCATTAAGGTAAGTAACTAATGTCTTTCAGGCAATGAATCCTAGTTATTTCATAATACAGGTACACTATAGTAGGTCATGTGAGAAAAAAATTCTTAGCATAATTTGTACTGGCCCATTTAAAGAACTGAATATTTAGTTATGCACTTTGTAGTTGAAGATGCCTTTTTAGGCAATGCAGAGTTAGTAGTTCAGGACACTTGCTGTTCTTGTACAGAATTGAAGTTCAGTTCCCAGCACCTACATGACATCTAACAAACATCTGTAATGTCAGTCCCAAGGGATCTTAAACATCCTCTTCTGAGCTTGGAAGACACCATGTAAGCAAGCACACAGTGCATGTCCAGCACAAACACCCATATGGATATAATAAAACAGTAATTCAAAAAAATTTCACAGGTTACTTTTTTGTTCATTTTTGGGTTTAAACAGAGTTCACACTGGAGACCAGGATCTAAAACTGCAAAAAATAAGAGTACCTGCCTGACAATGTTACCCCTTCTGTAATCAAAGTGTGCATTCTCAGAATGTTATAAGAATGTCCATTTCTTTGGCTTTGCTTCTTTTACAATAAAGGTAATTATAATATTTATTTCTGAAATGTCCTTTTATGAAAAATATGATTTAGAAATTGCTCATTTCATCCAAAAGTTATGAATGGCCTTAAAAACTAAAGTAGATCCCAAGCTACCCAGAAATACCCTGTCTTGAAAAAC